GGCCCCGCGCCCCGTGGCCGCGCCATGCCCGTCGGGCGCCCGGGCAGGGTCATGTCCCGACACCCGAGCGGCAGCCGAGCCCACCAGCCCGCGGCGCGGCGGGGACTGGGGACGCTCGGCGCCTCGGGCTCGGGACTGCCCCGGGGGCGGAGCCTCGGCGACGCCCGCCCCGCCCCGCCCCGCCGCGGCCGCGCCCCCCGCCCACTCCTTTCGCTTTCGGAGAAAGCGCGGGCCTCCCGCGGCCCTCGCCGCCCGCCCGCGGAACGCTAGGGGGGCCCCTGGAATCGCGGGAGGCCTGGCCCGGGGCCCCCGCGGGATCTCTCCACCTGCCCTCGAGGAGGAGGAGGAGGAGCTGCCCCTCCCCCGAGCCCTGGTGCCCTCCCTCCCTCCCCACCCTTCCCCCCCGGGCTTCCGAAGGATTCCTTCAGAGCGAACCGAGGGTCTTGACCTGCACAGGAAGGAGCTGCCTGTTCCTTCGCGGTCTTCCTCGAGCTCTTTTCCGTGTCCCAACCTTCCTGGTCAAAGGTTTCTGAGTCCCTCAGGCTCTCCTCTGGCCTGGGTCCCTTAATCCGGGGTTCAAGGCCGTCGGCCACCCAAGGGAGACACGCCAATCAATGCCTGCGCCCAACTGCTGAGACCGCTCCCCACCCCCACCCCTCGGAGCTCCCCACTTCCCGGCGGGCAGAGAACAAGGTCAAGAGGCGGAGCCTGAGTCTCTGCAAGTCTCCCAGCCAGTCCAGTCGTGCCTTTTCCCGGCCCCCCACTAGCTGGAGGTGCTTTCTCCTCCCCCCTCCCCCGCCGCTTCCTCTGGAGCCTTGGGGCCGCAGAGCCCCTTCGCCCCTCTGAACTGCTGGTTCTCCTTCGGAGCGGAGCTGCCAGCTCTGCAGGGTTGCTCTCAGAGTAAAATTTAGAGGTGGGTGTTGAGCGCGTAGCTCGGTGGTAGAGCACTTACTTGCCTTGCGTGTGACAAATGCTGGATTCCATGCCCAACATGGAAGGAAGGAAAAAAGGGCTGAGGCTCTAAAATGTGAGTGCTTTTTAGAGTTGTGATAGACAGCCAGTCCCTTAGGCCCACCGCATCTTAGATGGAAATTTAGGCTCGCCTCCTCCATCATTTCCCTATTTGTAAACGGAAGAAAACCTCACCTGACCTACAGTTGCGGTTGTGTATTGCAAAGAGAACACTGACGTCGAAGTTCAGACACCTCGAAGTCCTTGTCACATCTGGATAGGTCAGTGGACTGTGCGTGCTGGTGGTCAGCTGACCGCAAGGCTACTGTGAGCGGAAGCCAGAATTTTCTGCCTTCCCCTAAATGCCAGAGGATTGAGGGCCCCTCACTGGACACCTAGAGCCTGGGATTAGGGCATTTCCAGGAAAATTGCCTCCAAGACTGACAAAGACCCAGGGGCGTGTACGCACCTTCCCTTTTCTCTGTTCAGCAAGAGTTTAAGATGGACCAGGAGATGGGACATGAATGTTGATAGGGAAAATGAGAACCTTTGACAAAGAGAAAAGATTCCTTGGGGATTGACGGAGGAGGAGGAGAGAGAAAGAGAAGAAAAGAAAGGAGGGAGAGAGAGAGAGAGGCGGAAGGAATGAAAGCACAAGAGAAAGGAAAACACAAGTTTGAACACTTGCCTCTCTTTCATGGAAAAGTCAAGAAACAACATGGACACATGGACACAGACAACTTTTCTGGGGCAGAAGTGTGGAGGTCTGGATTCTTGAGCCTAGAGCTGTGCCAGCCTGTAGCACGGAATTCAGAAGAGCTGTCCACAGAGGGTAGACCGGGACCTGGCAGAGGAAAATGAGACGAGGGAGAAGGGAACATGTTCCTGGGTGCCAGGCAATGTGTGGGCAATACTGGCAGATAAGTAAGCTGGGGTCTGACCCAGCTGCTGGAGAAAGCCCAGAACAATTCTTTTCTTAATCCACGTACCCGCTCAAGTCTTAGGTCCACCACAGCAGGAACCAAAGAATTGATCTTTGTTGCTGGGTGTGATGGTGAGTGCCTGTAATACCCTTACCAGGACTTGTTAGGCAGAAGTAGGAGAAGCAGGTGTTCCAGCTGTCCATCCTGAGCGGTAAAGCTGGCCAGCCTGGGCTACCAGAAGCCCTTTCTCAACAATAACAACATAAATTGTTCTTCGCCATGCCTGTCTAGGTGTATTCTGTTGGACGGGTAAGTACAATGTGGAAGAGGTAGCTGAGAGCTGGAGGCCTCCAGTGCATGGTATCTTCCTCACCACAGAAGAGAGAAGGGCTCAGCTAGAATGCTGGTTAGGGCACTTGCTCAAGGCCTGGCTGAGCCCCTGGTTTCTGTCCCTGTGTTCCTGTTAAATTTCTCCCTCCCTGCCTTCCTACTTCCTCTTCCCTACATTCCTTGATATAAAATCTTCTCCTGTAGTCAGGCTGTCCTGGAACTCAGACTCTGCACCTCCAGGGCACTGGGATTGTAGGCATGCACCACCACAGCACAGGTGGCAGTTTTTGTTTTGTTGTTTTTTGTTTTTTTGTTTTTTTTCATCAAGGGACTTGTAGTTCTTTATACAATGAAGCAAGGGTCTGTCTCCACCTACCTCAGGCAGAAACATACTGAGGCAAGGCCTGGAGAGGTCATAATAAAGTAATCAATAGTAAGCTGCCAAATCTAGTAATCTCCTGCCTCGGCCTCCCCAGTACCAGGGCCCCAGATGGAAGCCATCATGCCCAGCTTCCTCCACTTTTTGATGCTTGAGAAGGGATGTGAAGAAAATCCGTTTGAACAGTGGGCAGATGGCATATGTGGCCTCTTGTGTGCTTAAAAGGAAAGGGCTGAAAAGGACCAGGGAGGAAGTAACTGGGCACAGAAGAGTATGTGAAGGTTAAGGGGTTGCCCTGAGCTAGGCCATGGGAGTCACTCTGCTCTGGCCACTGACCAATTTGATGTCAGTGGAAACAAACTTTCTCCTCCACTTCCTCCTCCTCCTTTGTTTTCCTCTTTCTCTCTCCTCCTCCCTTTTTCTTCTTTGCCGTCTTGACTCAGCCTTCTGAGCGCTGGGATCACAGGCATGTACCACCCCCAACTTTCAACCTGTTTTCTTGGGGCATCTCAATGGCATGGTCTTCCTAGACCTTCAAACACCGGGTCCTAAGGTGCCTGAGTCTTCTTCCTGTGCCTGGCCCTCTGGACTCAGTATGTGTCTCTCCTGGACGGTAACAACCATGGGACAAAAATATGGGGAGAGGGGAGGCCTGAAAATGGGATGCATCACCCCCACCTCTATCAGGTCAGGCGCAGTTTCTAAAGCTCCTTGAAATTAAACAAAATATTTTACTTGATGTGTATAAGTGCATGCCTGTCTGTGTACCACACGAGTGCCCAGTGCTCACAGAGGCCAGTACAGGGTGTCCTATCCCCTGGGATCAGAGTTGCAGATGGTTGTGAGCTGCCAGGTGGATGCTGGGAATTAAACCTGGGTCCTCTGGAAGATCACTGCTGAAACATCTCTCCAGCTCCCCTAAAGGGATGGAGGGGACCAGGTGGGATTAGTACAAAAATCTCATTCTAGTAACATATTCCCTAGGGAATTTCTTTTTTTTTATTTTATTTTCTTTATTTATTTTTGGCTGTCCTGGACTCTTCTTTGTAAACCAGGCTGGCCTCGAACTCACAGCGATCCACCTGCCTCTGTCTCCCAGAGTGCTAGGATTACAGGAGTGCAGCACTGTACCCAGCGAGCTTGGACCTTCTAAGAGATGTTCTGAACATAAGACTCCAGTGTTTTGTAGGAATACTTTGACTCACTCACTGAGCAAGCAAACACCTGTTGAGCGGCTGCAATCAACCAGACACTGTGCTAGGTGCGAAGGAGCAAATGGCCTGTTACTGGGAGTGAGTATCATTTCCCATTTTTATGGAAGAGAACCACTCAGAAGCTGACAGAAACAGAAGACCTTCCCTCACTGTTTCCAATGGGTTGTCAGGGGAAACCCATGAATCTTGGTCATGTATTTCCAGCCTTCTCAAGTGGTCGCTCTGCTCTGATGTTTGGCTCTGCCTGGGGCATTCTTGAAAGAGGGTTGGTGGGAACCTGGACCCGCCCTCAACTGTAGGGTGGGGAAGAGCAGTCCTGGAAGAGGAAATGTACAGGGTGTCTTCCGTGATAGTCCCAACTTCTGACACTTCTTGGCTCCGGGTGTTGGGGACTGCTGTGGTGCTCTGTGTATTCAGATGCTAAATTCTGGGCCCCAGATCTGATTACAGTCTGGACAAGTGCCTTCTCAGCTACACTGAATCAGATGTGGTGTAATCTTTGCTTCCCAGTCACCTCTGATTGGCTAATAAAAAAATAGCTGGACAGCCTGTAACTGGACAGAAGAGAGGGGTCGGTGGAGCTCCTGTTCCTGGTGCTTGGGGTCTCAGGTGGGGACCACAGAGATGGGGAGGAGGAGGAAGATGGAGAGAAAGGACATGGCCTGATAGAGCAGCTACAGCCCAGACGGGACCAATATTGGCAAGTAACTTGGGGTGTATGGCTGGGAAGTAGCCAGACTAGCTGGGAAATTAGTATAAATCGTACTAAAGCCTGTTTAAATAAGTAAAGTTTCAATTATTTGGGAGCTAGCGGGGTTAGAAAAACCTGACGAATTAACAAATTTTCTACAACATCTGAGTTTCTTCTTCTTCTTCTTCTTTTTTTTTTTTTCTAGCAATCTGCCCCATACCCATAGCTTAGTCTTTGTGATAATATTCTGGAATATTCACGATAGCAGGACTGACCGACCCTCCATAATCTTTCACTCTTGTCTAAAACAATATGTGTCACCATGCCTGTGTGTGTGCTTTAACAAGTCTCCTGACACACTTCAGGACCAAGGTTTGCGGTCCCTCCAGGAGCCTGGATTCCTGAGTCTCCACCGTCTCTTGAGGGCAGGGACCTGCAGGGCCTCTCCCAGTAGCCGGCGACTTGGAGGCGATGACCTCCCGGAGGGTCCAAGGTCAGAGACTCAGAATCCCCAGCACAGTCGTGATGTGCTGGGTCTGTCTAGAGTAAAGTGCTCACCAGGGAACTTCCCTGCCTCTCCCAGTCGCCACGGGAGACTCGGCTCTCAACTAGAACACGGTTCCAGCAGGTATGACTTTCACTCCGGGGGCCCTGGTGATGGACTCCACAGAGCAGAGTCGGACTGGAAGAAGGAACCGTGGGAAGCTGCCATTGGCTCAGGGTGCCAGAGGCTAGGGCCCACTGCAGGTGAGTTTAAGCTACCGAGTAACCTGGCCCAAGTGTCACGACTTCGCTTCCTTAAGACCTGGGCTGCCGCGAGCTAGGCGGAGTGCAAGCGCGCGCTCTCGGGGCGCGGGCAGCGCAGACGCTCCATCCCAGCTGCTGCTCACCCTCCCGTCGCTCCTCCTTGCACGGCTGAGACCCAAGACCCGGGACCCATCACATCCCAGACACACGTGCGCTCAACGCCAGTCGGCCAGCTCCACAGGCGAGAAGACCGGGCTCCCATTCCCTCGCGCTGTGATAACAGAGTCCCGGGGCGCGGTGGAAGCGGCAGGGGTCGGCTTGGTGCCTTTCCTTCCTTCCTCCCCCACCTGCGCTTCCTGGATAGGTGGGGGAGCTGGAAGGGCTCCCACAGAGAGGTAGATCCCAGGAAGGCTTCCCCAAAGGTGACTTTCTCAGCTGGCCGGGGAAGGGGAAGGGAGAAGTCGATGGAGATGATAAACTCAAACTACGACTTCAATGTAGTTATGGCAAGAACCAGAAGTTTGTTGATGAGTCTTTATAGTTTTCTGGCTTGAGTTCCAATATTTTTGGTAGTGGCGTATGCTGGAAGGATAGAGGTAATGACGGAGGGGGGGGGGGGCCGCTCCGGAAGATTCCCCGAGCCAGGCTGTCTATGGAGCTGAAGATGACCTTGAATTTTTATCAGTCCAACCTCCACCTCCTTACTGTTGGGGTTGCAAGGCGATTGCTGATGGAGAGTGACTGTAGGGCCTTGTGAACACCAAACACTGCTAACAGCTGTTTTGGTGGCTGTGCTGGGATTAAATACTCCGGCCACCATGCCCAGTTCATTACCCATTTAAAAGATGGGGTACTGTGCCACAGAGAAATGGGTTATCCCTGGGGATTAAGCGGTAGTGCTAGGAGCCCTGAAGCATCTTGCTGACTCTGGCCTTTGGTCGGTCTTGGGTGCAGGGCAGGCTGGAGTTCCCAGGATTAGCTTGTGCTCCAACGGCTTGGGTGCTACCCTTGGCCAAGAAACTGCATTCCACCGACCAGGCACTGGGACAGGCCTTGGCAGCCTTCTAGCTACAGCAGACCCTTTTACAAATGCTGTTCCTTGTAGCGCCCAGGACAGCCCAAGGAAACCCAGGGTCTTTTGGTCTTTTAAGATCATGCAAAAAAACAAAACAAAAACAACAACAACAACAAAAAAAACCATTTGAGTGGAGTTTGTGGCTTCCTGGGCCACTCAAACAACATTCTCCTCTCCTGGGAGAAGCTGCCCATCTTAGCCTCTTCTCTCCACCTAATTTTATTGGAGTTGCTTTTTCCAGAGTTAGGCAGCAAGTGGCTGCCCCACAGCAACTGGGTCCTGAGAACTAAGTGGCTTATTAACTCATTCTCTGCTCTAATGGACTCATTGCACCCATCAGTCAAGCAGTGAGTGATAAAGAGTGGTCTGCTTGTGGATCCCACCTTATTAACAGCAGACAGCCTTACCCACGGCCTAGACCATCTCAGTGGAGGATGGCTGCAGTTTGCTGCTTAGCCAACACAGTGGTAAAGTATGACACAGTCTCAGCACTGTGGAGGGCCCTCACAGATCTCGCCCACGCAGGACAGGACCGCCAGAATCTGCTGGACTCAGTCTCTGGCTCCCTTGGCTCCACACAGCGGTAGGCAAAAGCTGTGCCTAGGTCATGAGAAAGCTGTTAGGGCCAGGTTCTCACTGGAGTTAGGCAGACATTAGGCACCACTTGCTCAGTTATATGATGCTGAGCTCACGCTGGGTCAGGGAACTCCCATTATGAGGATGTTGCTTGCGAGCTGACAGCCGCTTCATTCTGGCAGTGCAGAACCTGAAGTGGGGTTGGAGAGAAGGTCATCTTTGGGATTCGTTAAGGGTGCCACTCGGGATGCAAGCTTTGGACTAAATCTGATCCCTTGTTAAAATGCCATCAAGTTTATTTACAAATATATTTACAGTTTGGGTGACAAGTCAGGACTTCACAGAAAAAAAATAACAAAAGCAGACTTTCTCTGCCCGTGTCAGAAATCAGAGAGACAACAGATCTACAGACAGCATGAGCTAGGCATATGGACACCGACTCTTACTTCCCAGAACTGAAAAAATGTAGGAGACAGCCATTGGTGTTATACTCTTCAACAATGACGTGAAGTTGGGGTGATGGAGGAGCCACTGAAGCTATTCACCAGCAAAAGAAACACTGAGCCACAAGGAAGCCAGTTGTTGGGACAAAGCTAATGTCTTCTGACTGGCTGAGATCTTGGCTCAGAGGTGAGCCTCAGGTGAGCCTGCGGGTAGATGGTGAATGTTGATCAGAATCACCAGGCAGGCAGGGCAGTGACTAGGGTAACTTTCCATCTTCTTTGGCGGGCTTTTTTCCCTGCCCTGTGCTTTGGCATGAGGGTTTCAGCAGCTGCAGGTGGGGGTGGCAAAGGGGCTACAGTGTGTGGCAGTTTCAATAAAAATTTTATTACACAGCCATAATGTCATTGACACTTGTCCAAAGCCAAATGATAAAAGATACAGATCTATATGTGGGTCAGGATGACGCCACAGATTATATGGATTCTATGGTTTTATGTCCTTTAAACAAGAAGAAAAAAAGTCCAAGTATGACATGATGGGAGAGGTCCCAGAAGCTCCAGGGCTTTGCCAGAGTGCACGTGGCGTTCAGTGATCTGTGATTCCACACTGCCATAACTGTCTATATAAAGAGCTTCGGTCAATGGACTCTTCAAGTATGTATGATCGCAACAAGTCCATCACCGCTCCTTTGTCCGCCTCTGTGCCACAGCTACGACAAAGCTGGGGCACAGCCATATTTCCCAATTCTACAGTCACAACACTTCTTCAAAACCTTTGTTGCTGCTTTGTAAAAAAGTAAAAATGTAAACTAGGATAAAGCAACACCCAGGCTTTACTCAACCAGAAGAGCTATAAAGTCCATTTTTGTTTAAATACTACTTAATTCCATGATTTCCCATCATTCCTCCCTCATACAAAAGTCAGTGAAGTCCAGAGCAGAGCTCGGTTCCTCATCACTGTGGAGATCAGCGGCTCTCAGCTGTTTCTTTAGCTTAGTGCTTGGTGAATATCATCAGCTGTACTTTGTTCTGAAAAGATTTGTTAAATGCCACTTTTATTTACAGTTGGAGCTTTACACCTGAGAATGATTATCAAGCAGTCAGCTTATCTCTTTTCAAACATTTCATAATGACATACACACCTCTTTGCTGGCTTCACCCTAGCTGCACAACAGTATATATATGCTTACCATATATATGCGCTCACACAGACACACACAGGCACGCACACACCGCTGCACATGCTGGTAACATTTGCAACCTACATCTTTTTCTATTTGCTCTCCACATCCATGTTGAATCATTTCTTCAAAAAACAGAACGAGTTATTCTTGCCAAACATCAAGCAGAGTCACCAGGAAGAGCCAGGTAGACTGGGTGGGGATGAGACACGCTGGGGTAAGTCAGGAAGCGACAGGCTGTGCCTGGGGAGTGAGCAAGGCTCTTTGGCTGCCTTTCCCGGGACCTGCCACGAGCATCCTGCCCCCAATCAGGACCTAGCCTGTGGGGCAAGTAGGCTAGACGGGGGTTTCCAGTGGGGGAGGGCAGGGCTGGGTAGAGGGGGAGGGGAGTCACACAGCTACAGCAGTCAGGCCTGTTTAGTAAGAAGAATCACATTTAATCAGTTTCTTTCTTGCAGTTTCAGATGCTCAAGTACAGCTCAAAAAAAAAAAAAAAAATCTGAAACAGCTATAGACCCATGACAGACTGATACAAAGAGTACTGCATTTTAAAAAATGATAAAAAATCCACACACATACATACACACACACACACACACACACACACACACACACTCTCTCTCTCTCAGATTAGACCCCCTCCCTCCCCATAAATGTACACTTTTTGGAAACTAAACTGGTTTTGAAAATCCCTCTTCCATGGACACAGGAAGAAGAGGAAGATGAGAGAAAAGAGGATGGCAGACGCCCAGCCCCGACTCTCTCTGCAAGGGTTAGATACCAAATGTTCCATGGTCTGACCCAAGGCAGTCTGAAGAGGACACTGAGGTGCTGCCGCTACTGCCACCATGGGCTCCAGGAAGAGCCCCAGCTCCATGGTAATACTGAATGCGCAGCGTGGCCGAACTGTGCTAGTTAAAAACCAAAAGTGGGTGGGGAGGGCAAACACAAATCTAAAGACATGGAAAAGAATCCCCAACCAACCCAGATCCACCTTGGGTGGGGCCTGGGAGGGCTGGTGGAGATGGTGCAGACAAGGGAGGTCTATACAGCAAATAGTTTATGTTACAATGACTGGCAGTTTAGAGTCTCTTCCCAGCTCCACGGCTGCTCCAGCCCAAAGAGGGCAAATCAGAGGAAAAGAGGGAAGGTGGGAGGACGACAGGGCATGCAGGGTTGGAAGCAGCAGGCTGCGAGCGCTCAAATAAGCCCCCGTCGTTTTTTGTAGTCTTCTAAGTTCAGAGATCTCCTTGGAGCTCCGTCCTTGGCTGGTGGGGCCTTGGAAGTGATGGCCAAAGCTTTTGACTCTGGGAAAGGAGAACAAATTGGCAAAATAAGGACCTGTATAGAACTTCTGATTTTTGGCTCCACTTCTTCAGGAAGCCTTACTGACCGAAGCCTGCTCTTTTTCAAGACTGACCTGATGTTGGCTCTATAGGTCAGGAGATATAGGCACCCCCCCTTTCTTCTCCATAGTCAAGACTCCAAGCTAAGAGATACACAAACCTATCTGTTCCTTAGGGCCCTCCCTCTGAGCCCCAACATACATACCTGAGCTTGGAACCTGTAAGTCAATCTTCACATCAAAGTCATGTACTTTGAACAAGTCTTCTGAGAGGTCACTGGCTGACTTAGAATTCAAATCTTTATCCTTTCCCTGACCCTGCAAAGAGACAAGGGGGACAAAACAACACAAACCTATAAACCATAAATACAAACAGAGGGGCCTGGAGGGCTGACAGTGGTTAAGAGCACTTTCAGAGGACCTGGATTCTGTTCCTAGCAGCCACATGATGGTTTACAACCATCCATAACTCCAGTTCCAGGGGACTGGAAATCTTCCAACCTCCATGGACACTGGGCACATCATGTGATGTACATACATAAATGCAGGCAAAACATCAGTATACAAAACATAAATAAAACGCAAATAGATTTCAAGAAACAGTAGACACTGATAGTCAAAACCCTCACTCATGTGATTTTCTTTTTTTTAGGTTTATTATGTATACAGGGTCTGCCTGCGTGTGTGCATGCAGGGCAGAAAAGGTCACCAGATGTCGTTACAGATGGTTGTGAGCCACCATGTGGGTGCTGGGAACTGAACTCAGGACCTTTGGAAGGGCAGCCAGTGCTCTTACCCTCTGAGCCCTCATGTGATTTTCATAGTAAGCTCCCTATCTTTTTCAATGTACACACATGTGCCATAGAGAAAACAGCAGGGGATAAAGGAATGAATGTTGTGTTTTAGGATACAAGCAAAAAATTTACTGTGGCTGCTACAGCTGGGACATCCCCAGAGGGGATTTGTTTTTTGTTTTTTGTTTTTTCCTTGGGAGAATGGCTGAGCAGTTAGAAAAATTGCAAGTAGAAATGGAAAGGCATGAGAAACAAAAAATGGCTGAAATGGAAAAGCAAAGAAAGTCATTCTACCTTTTCTGAAAGGACTGCAGAATTGGTGGGGCAACTAGAAAAAGTGCAGGTGGAAATGGAAGCACTTGGGAATCTAGGAGAACCAGAAAAGGGAGAACAACAACAACAACAACAACAACAAAAACAAAAAAACAACTCAGTCCTGATGCCTGAGCAAGAAAGTGGGAGTTTCTCAAGTGAGGAAAGAGGAAAAGAAACTGCACTGGAGGGTGGTCAGGGTAGAGAAAGGCTGACAAGGTGGGAAGATAGTCTGATGAGAGAGCCCATTTCAAGAGAAAGGGTTAATCAAACCAACCATGTTGGGCTTATGAGATCACCACCATCACCTTTCCCAGGATTTGTACAGCATATGCCTGCTCAAAGTGGGGACCAAGGTTATGACGACATAGGATGGTGTCCTACAGTAATGACAGATCTAAGGTGGTTTTTTTAAATATTTAAATATTTATTCATTTATTTATATGAGAGCTTTAGCTGTGTGTACATGTACATGACAGAAGAGAGCACCAGACCCCATTGCTGGGAATTGAACTCAGGACCTCTGGAGGAGCAGCCAGTGCTCTTAACCGCTGAGCCACTTCTCCAGCTCCAGATCTAAGGTGTTTTAAAAGAGGCCATTATTTCATATGGGATGCACTCACCTTATGTGATTGAAAATTCACCTTCTGTGAAACAAATTTTAAGTAACTGAGCTACTCAAAATAGAATTATTCCCCAAGATTGGAAGGGACAGCTGTACTAGGGGACTGTCCACAGTTGAAATAAGTTAACATGGTGGTGGGAAGAAGCCATGAATGTTAAACAGTGAAAAAGAGGGAGGGGAATGAATATAGTAAAAGATCAGTTGCTCGGTGAAGGGCAGTACTCATAAACAACAACAGATTCAATTGGATGATGCTACTAAAGAACAATGTTGATTAGTGGTTTTAAGGGCTTGAGACAAAATTGAGGAGCTCAGGAAAAAGTCCATCTCGTTTACAAAGATTATACAAGGTTCTGGAGAAGCGTTCGCTGATTTTTACATAGACTAGTTTGAGGTGTGAAAAAAAGCTGTATCAGACCCTGACACAATATAGGTATTGAGAAAGACCTTGGTGTATAAAAATGTGAATACCAAATGCAAAAAAGTTATTAAACTATTCCTGTGTTTATAGACGAGTCGATATGGCTAATATTGGTTCTAATGTGTACCATGCTAATATTAAAGGTCAAGCTATAGCAAGTGGTCTCTAATATCAAAATGACCAATGCTTCAACTTCAGAAAGTATGGTCATTTGCAAAGAGACTCTGGCTAAGCTGCTAAAGGTCTCAGGTCTCAAAAATGGTTGATGCTTTAATTGTGGGAAATTTGATCAACTGCAACAGAATCATGAACAAGGCATCTTTAAGGGCAATGGGTTTTCTAACTATAAACCAGAAATAAGGCCTAGGCTTCCAGAGGTATGATGTGGTAAGCGTTGCCACTGGACCAATGAGTGTAGGTCCAAGAGAGCCAAGGGAAATGGTAAGAAAAGGCTTGAGGCCTCAAAGCAAAAATTACAAGTCGTTTCAGATAAGAGTAGCTGAGATTCACCAGGTTATAGGAAAAAAAGAAAATGTAAAATTAAACAGCCTACATACTATAAGGATGTTTTAACATCAGAATGGAAAAAAGTTTTGCATTGAGAACACAGATTTGCTTATATTTCCACAGGAAATGAAAAGCTGGGGGTATCGGGGACTGGAGAGATGGCTCGGTGGTTAAGAGCACTGTCTGCTCTTTCAAAGGACCCAGGTTCAATTCCTAGCACCAATATGATGACAGCTCACAACTGTCTATAACTCCAGTTCTAAGGGATCTGACATCTTCACACTGATGCACATAAAATGAAATTAAATAAATTATTAAAAAAGAAAAGCTGGGGGGATATCATCATAACTTATAAAGATTAGAATTGAACAAATGAGGTCTCCGGAAGATCTTGCCTAATGACCCAAAAAGTGTTTATTTAACTGAAAATGTCTCTGTATCTATTTTCCTGCTACACACAGCATAATTATTGGCTTAAACAGAAATGAGGAAATGCAGTGACAATGCAGGAATTTGTGTTTCTTTTAAAAACATACAGCTGGGTGGTGGTGGCCCACACTCTTAATCCCAGCACTTGGGGAGCAGAGGCAGGTGGATCTCTGTGAGTTTGAAGCCAGCCTGGTCTACAGAGTGAGCACCAGGACAGCCACAGAAACCCTGTATCAAAAAAACAAACAACCCACCCATAGAAATATTTTAAGAATGTTTACATTTTAATCCCGGGTGTGAGGATATGGGGCTGCTGTAGCATCTGAGGCAGCTATGACTTGCCTTGTGCTCTGGCAGGGTCATGACTTTACCAGCTGCAGACAGTTTCTATGATTGTGTGAAGTTTGGAATTCTGGGGACTTTTCAGAGGGTACATAAATGCTAGGGTCCTGAGAGGCGGGGTAGGTTGTTGGATGCTGTTGGTTATAGTTTTTTAATTAGATGTTTCGAAAAGAAAAAACAAGAAACTAGATATCCTGAAGGGAAAGATCCGATTTGCCCCAAGGAGGTCAAGGTCCCTAATCAGCAGGAAGTAGTCTCACAATACTGCCATCCCCTTTCTGACCCCTGACCTTAGTTAGGGATCTCTTTCCTTTCCTCGCTTTTCCTTTCTTTTTGAATGGGAAGAAGAAAAGGTAGAGAATGGTAAAAGAAGAACCCACAAAGTAGCTAATGCTGGTTACACACACACGTGTGACATGTATGTGGAGGTCAGACAAGCTACTTATCTCCTTTCAGAAAGGAGCTCTCATTGGCCTTGAGCTCACCACTGAGGCTAGGCTAGCTGCCCAGGAATCTTCCTCTGCCTCCTCAGCACTGTGATCACAGACATAATCCACTATGCTAAGCTTTTTTTTAAAACACAGGTTCTGGGGATCAAACTCAAGTCTTCATGTTTTTGAGGGAAGAATTTACTCACTGCGTCATCTCCCTAGCTTCCCACCCCCTTGATTGACACTTGTTTCTAAAAAGAAAAAAAATTATTCATATATATGCCCACACATACATACATACATAAGCATTTTACTTTTTAATAAAAAGATTTTTGTGTGGTGCTTGTGGGCGGAACTCAGTGCCTTGTGCTTGCCAGGCACACCCTCTCCAACTGTGCTACAATTTCCAGCTCTAAGGCCCTTCATATTGTTTCTCTCAGGGAGACCTGGAGAGGCCATCAACAAAGCCTTCTCTTACAGACCTTTTTAGGCTGCAAAGTGAAAGAGAGAAGGAAGACTTGACTGCAGCATGAGTGGAAAGGGTGGGCTTAAGATGACAGGCCCCTTTCTGAACCATGATTTTGAGTCATTAATGGGTTAGTCAGGGAAACATCTGAGTGTTTTCAACATCAGCCTCGCCTCCTGAGTGAAGCATTAGGGGCAGGAGCCACCCACTCCGGCTTCCTGTTGGGCTGGGTATGTTACATCAAGTGAGCACTCTATCAACTGAACCCCACACCAAGCTCCTATTCATTTCTTGTTTCTTTGAAACAGGGTCTCATGTAACTCAGGCTGGCCTCTAAACTCCTTAACTTCTAATATTCATTTCTTCACCTCCTGAATACTCAGGCATGTGGCCCTACATCTGTAATCTCAGCACTTGGAGGAAGCAGACACAGGAGGGTTCCTGCAAGTTCAAGCCCAGCCAAGGCTAAGTAGTAAAAATGTTTCTGAGACTAGAAAAACAAAACAAACAAAAACCCGATAAATGAGTCTCTCCTGTATTATCATTTTGCCTTCACTATTAAAACTGTCTCACCTTTACTTGTCACCCGTACCTTCTAACTACCCTGTAAGGTACACAGGACACTTTTCTACCTAAGAAAAGGAGTGGCAGAAGTCTAGAAAGCAGAGGCCTGGAGACACAGACAACAGTTCGTTAAAGACCGGTCAGGACTCAGGACAGGTGATCACCCTTCTAAGTAACTGAAGAAAAGACTGCAAGCACTTCTCCAAGGTGCTGCATGTGCAAACATTAGGTGGATACAAGGCAAGGCGACCTGCCAAGCTTCTCACCAGCAGCCTGCCTCCAAAGCCTCAGGGTGGTTTTCTACTTGCCTTGTTCATTTCCTTTGGAGCATCTGGTAATACTCCAGAACCATATTTCGCATTTAGCTGGGCCAAAATGGCAGCCTGAACAGCTGGGTCTCTGGACTGGAAGAAAAAAAATACATAAACTATTTTAAAGACTACTTAACTTCAGAGTCCCATGCCAGATTCTTTCCCATTTACTCCAACTAACATCAAAAATACGACATGTAGGGCATCCATTAGCAAGTTAGTGAAGTTTTCCTCAAGACAAAAGAAGCACAATTTTAAGCCTGGTGTGTTGGCACACCCCTTTAAACGCAGCACTGTGAGAGGCAGAGGCAGGCTGATCTCTGGGTTTAAGGCCGGCCTGGTCTGCAAAGGAGTCCAGGACAGCCAAGGCTATACAGAGAAACCCTGTCTTGAAAAACCAAAAGGAAAAAAAGCACAATTAAAACCTTTAAAGCCACCTAGGGCTCCATGCTAACTAACATATTTAGGCTGTGCACTTTCTAGTATAAAAATCCAAATTCCACAATGCTTCAATGCCTAAAATTTTGTGTACCATCATGGTGCTTCAAGTGGAAAATTCCACATCTGATCTTATGTACTGTCAAAGCCAGGTACTAAAAGTATAATTAAAAAACCCTTCAGGTGATATACACAAACATTCGAAACCAATGCCTTTCTTCTGTACACCTGGGTCTCGTCCCCAGGCTATCTCAATATGAAATGCATATATTTCCAACTCTGAAAATGCTCAAGCTCTGGAAGGCTTCTAATTGCAAGCATTGTGGGTTAGGGATACACACCCAGCCCTTACATTTGTTACACTGAAAATGCACCCTGGAACAGAGAGTTAACTCCTAGGTTTTCCCTACATGTATGCCCTACAGCAAGATACATACATACATATGTATGTATATAAAAGAATCGAGACTCAAGCTCAAGGCAAGCAAATCCCAGCTAGAAAAACATTATTTTTAACTTCATTACTAATTTCCTAATGGAATTCATTTTATTTCCTAGAATCTAGGCCCCAATTAAAAAAAAAAAAACAAAAACCAAAAAAACCTCCTCATCAGCACTCACATTGGAAACGATGGTGGGTTTGCATTGCCGCCTGGTAAAGGGATCCATCTGCTGGTTTTTCATGTTGTGACTTTCAGCCTAAAACAGGAAGTATGCATTAGATCTCCTCCTCCTCCTCTCTCAATCATTCTAGGCTTACATATAAACAACATCTTGCAAGAAACTAGGAAAAAAAATCAAAAGCTGTCTGTCCTTTTCAGTGATAAAGCACTTGCCTAGCACACAGGAGGCCTGGGTTCAAGGATGAGCACTGCAGAACAAGAACAAAACAAAACAACCCAAAAGAATAGATGCCGGAGCAACAACCCCCCCCCCCTTACAAAATAGATACAGGAGCAGGAACCACTCCTCCCTCCAACAAAACAGATACAGGAGGAATAATGCAACATTCTTCCAACAAAATATAACAGGCCCTCAGTAGATACAGGAGAAACAATCCTCTCCCCAAATAGATACTGGAACAATAATCAAACATTCCCCAACAGAATAGAAACAGAAACAACCAAACACAGGCCCACCTACCCCAAAAAAACAAATACAGGTGCAACAACCAGCACTGGTATCAGGCCAGGAGACTGTTGCTATGTGTCACAGGCTACAAATACTGTGAGAAGACATGAGGCAGAGACTGCACACACGCTAAAAGGACATGCCATTTCAATCATCTAAAACACACATGGATAACATACAAAAAATATTTTATTTTCCTTTAACCTAATTATTTTTTTTTATTTGTGGGGAAACGCATGCCTGCCATGATGTATGTATGGAGGTCAAAGGACAAGTTTGTAGAAGTGGTTCTCTCCTTCCAGGGCTTGAATTCAGGGCACCAAGCTTGCATGCACTCTTACCTGCTAAGCCATCTCACCAGCCCTAATTTTTTTGAACAGGTCTTCTAAAACTGGCCTTGGACAGTAATGCAGCTGCCCTACTGTCCCAGCACTCAGGAAGGCAGAGGAAGAGGCAGACACACCGATGTGAGTTTGGGATCAGTCTGGTCTACAAATGTAGCTTCGATCTACTAGTCCTCCTGCTGCCATCCCCAAGTGTTGGTTTACAGGTGTGTGCAGCATCCGGGAACTCCTACCATTTTCCTGGAACTCTCCTTCAGTAATCTATGTGCCGTCTAAAACTCACCACCAGGGCCTTCTCAGACTCCACAATGTTCCACTCCCGATTCCGCTGGTTGATGTAGCTACAAGGGAAGCGGGGTCAGTCAGTGGGCTGTAGGAGGCTGGAACAGCATGGACCCTCAGCACCCCAGAGATCTGTGGGGTCTGTGTCGTACTGAATGTAGAAGGCTACAGGCTGGCCACGGACAGAGTCCTTACCTGATAGCAGATATGTTCTTGGTCCGCTGGCGGTCCAGGGCTTCTGCCCTCTCCTCCAGCTCGTTTAGCTGGTCTTGTATTTGCTTGGCTTTATCCTGATCTCCCAGGTCCTCAGCCATGGCCTGCACAGAGACATGGCTGTAACTGGTTCTCTGTTAAATATCTTGTACAGCACAGGTAAGGCACCTCATGGGATGAACCAATGATAGGAAATGTGAAGGAACAGTGGAAAAAGTACTTGACGAAGACAAGATGTCTTTTTCCTTACAGTAAGAATACCTACCTTCTCATTGGTTACTGGGGTCTGCGCCATATGATGCAACATTAAACTTTAAGAATATAGGCCTACATGGCCTGGCATAGTGATGGATGCCTTTAATCCCAGTACTTGGGAGGCAGAGCCAGGTGGATCTCTGTAAGTCCATGGCCAGCCTGGTCTACAGAGTGAGCTTTAGGACAGCCAAGGCTACACAGAGAAACCCTGTCTGTCTCGAAAAATTAACAAAGAAATAAAAAAATAGACTGAACTTCACATGACTGAACTTCATAGCTAGGTCCATCCTATCCTGCTGGATGAAATGGGAAACCACCTGCCATAGTGGGGTTCACAGTACAAACAAAACAAAGGCATAGGAAACTAAGGAAAATGGGAGCTGGGTGTAGTGGTGCAAGCCTTTGATTCCCAGCACTCAGGAAGGCAGACGAAGAGGAAGACAGAATGATGTGAGTTTGGGACCAGTCTGGTCTACAAAGCAAGTCTGGGACAGCCAAGGCTACACAGGAAAACCCTGTCTTGAAAAACCAAAAGAAAGAAAGGGGGAGGGGAGGAGAAAAGGAAGGGAAGAGGGAAGGAAGGAAGATAGAAAAACAAGAATAACTGCATTCACAGGAAGGAAAGATGCCTGGGTTATCGACAATATCCTGTTTTGCTTATCACAGAGCCCAGGATGTTTTCCCAATCCTGCTATCACTGAGTTGGTGGCAGAGGATGGACAAGTCAGCATGATTTCTCCATCTTAACAAGACAGACAGACAAAAGGGCTTTTTAGCTCTTACCTTTTCCTTTAGCAGCTGAGTCTTCTTCATAGCATAGTTTGGTGGAGCTTTTCTGAACCTTTCTTTCTCTTTTACAATCTGTACCAGAGAGCAGAACGAGCAGTGAGGTATTCATAAACGTTTTTGTTTTTTTTTTTTTTAAAGATTATGTATACAGTGTTCTGCCTGCGTGTATATCTGCACGACAGAGGAGGGCACTAGATTCCATTATAGATGGTTGCTGGGAATTGAACTCAGGGCCTCTGGAAGGGCAAACAAATTCCTTTCAAGGAACACTCTGCTATCTCCAGGGTCATGGCAGCTCTGGGATACTCTGAAGGAGCATACACCAATAAAAAGCAGCAGCATCACACACTCTCTCTCTTTGTGTGTCTCTCTCTCACACACAAGAAACAAAGAAAAGCCAGGTGATGGTGATGCACGTCTTTGATCCCAGCACTTGGGAGGCAGAGGCAGGAGCATCTCTGTGAGTTTGAGGCCAGCCTGGTCGACAGCAATCTCCAGGACAGCCAAGGTTACGCAGAGAAACCCTGTCTCAAAAAAACCATCTAAACAAAAAACTCCAACCCCCCCCCCAAAAAAAAAACAACAAATAAACAAACAAAACCCAGCAGCAGCAGTATCAAGCCTGGAATTATAAGGCTAGCCACTGTCCAAGAGAACAGAGATCCAAAAATTTTAAAATGTTTTGGAGAAAGAAGAACTAAACCTAAGGGAACAAACATCCTAATAAACTGGAATCTGTATAGTCTCATTGAGAATGTATAGGGAAAAGCTTGATGAAGTATAAGTAACAAGACAGCATCCCTTTAATTTCACATAACGGAGAAAATAGTAAGACAAGCCTGGTTCTTCTCTAAACTGGTTCTTAAAGAGCTGTCAGGCTCCGGGATTCCGGCTTCTTACCTCCTCAATGTCCTGATCATTGAATTTATAATTGAGAGCTTCTTTAATTGATAATTCCTTTTTATTGATTTCATCTAGTGTGGGCAGCTGCATGCCAGCAGAAAACATCTGGACCAAAATGTGATCAGAAAAAAAAGCTATCAGAAAGGGATTTAGGAAACACCATGTTTACCAACAGCTGCTAGGCAGTCTAGCCGCTTACCGCTTCTTTCCACTTCATGAATTCACTTTCAGTGAATTCTTGGTTTGACACAAACTCTAGGCGGAACACTCGTTGGTCATTGCCATGCCTATGTAAAAGAAAGACAGCATCTCAGAGAACATGCATATGACTATAACCAGCAAAGGGACTTGCCAGAGTCTGTACCGTACCCGTGTCCATGGCCTCATCCTGGCTACCTTCTCAATTACCAAGGAGACTGTAACGCTAAAGCACCAACTACATCTACTAAGCCCAGATTTCTGGGTGTAAGAACCAGGCACAAAACCAACCCCCCAGAGGTTGTTTTAATGGGCAACCAGGATGGAGCTTACAAAGCTAAGTGGAAGCGTAGGGACCTGGGGAGTGCATTAGAAGTCTGTTTACTATGCTCCTGAGATTTCTCTGAATACTACCCAACCATCTCTTTTTTTATTTCTATAGAAAAAAAATGTCTATGTATGACTGTCCACAAGTATCTACGGTGTGTCAGAGGCCAGAAATGAAATTTCAGAGGACAATTTACAAGAGTCAGTTCTCTCCTTCAACCACATGGTTCCAGGGACTGAACTCAAACCATTAGTCTTGGTGGCAGGTACCACCACCATCTTGTCAGCCCCCAAACTCTTTTTAAACAAACCAGGGAGGATGTGCAATAAGGATTTGGGAGGGAATATCTATTACTTGTCATCTGCTACATGATTCTGGCAAACTCCTTTTATACCTACTGATATGGTTCTTTAAATTTGTTAGGGTTCAAGAGGGAAGGGGCATGGATTTGAGTATTTGTTATTCCCTTTATCCTAATGTCAAGAACAGTGCCAGGCAGAGTAGAAATTCAGGAAACACTCCATTTCCATTTCATTGAAGAGGAAACTAAGTCTAGAAAGCTGACCTTGCTTATCAAAGGTGAAGCTAATTAAGAGACCAAGGTTCAGAAAGAAGCAAGCCTCCTGACTGATCTCATAGAAAATGCATGTTGGCTCTGGTAGGAGGTCTCAAGGACCTGATTATTATCCTCCTGTACATCAAAACAAGTTGTAGCCTTGTCCCTCATGAGAGGCAGTAACTGTATAGAAAAAAAAAATAGATCCAAGCTTTTCTCTATATGGTCTCTATTGTGGAGACCAGACATAGGGCTCAATGCTATGAACATTATATTGGAGGCAGTGACAGCCCAAGAGGCAGCTAAAAAGGAAGCTAACGTGGCCACAGAAGGACCTCTTAGAATTGGCACACACCAGTTATGCCAACCCTTGGAAGGCTAAGGCATGACTATGAGTTTGTGACCAGCTTGGGTTATACAGAAAGACCTTGTCTCAAAAAAGACAAGGAAAAGGGTGAGCACAAGATGAGAGGGAGAACACATCTCCTTGGGTAACTCTAGGTGGCCTGGACCGTACCATATCCATCAGGCTGGCCTTAAACTTGAAGCAAGTCTCCCACTTCTGTCACAGCAGTGCTGGGATCACAAAGGTGTATCATCATGCCTGGGAAGTGCATCTTACCGTAGCTGTAGCCCTTTGTTTGTTCTGGTGCCACCCAACTGGTACACTTTGGCAGTTTCCACAACGCCTGTGATCTCAGCCACCTAAGAAGAACAGAGACCCCAGTAAAAAGCCTCTTGCAGAGCTTTCTACACCATGCTTCATTGGATTCCATCTACCCAAACACTAAAGGGCTGTGAAAGAGGAGTCCAGAAGGGCCTGTCTCATGTTTAGAATTCAGATGGCTGAGGCCAGTAAGTCTTGTGCCCGGGGCAAGCAAAGCCCAGAAGAAAAGGCAGTCAGTCTGGAGGGGCCCAATGTAGAAAAGTAAAGGCTCAGTTCTTTGTTTTTGTTGTTGAGTGTTGAACATGCTAGGTAAGTGAGTGCTACTGCCAGCACCTCATCTTTAAACTACAACAAAATGCCAACATTTACTAATTTATGTGTGTGCACATGCAGGCACACATGAGCCAGAGCATGGAGGCCAGAAGACAACCTGGGAGAGTCAGTTCTCTCCTCCTGTATTGGTTTCACATCAGTTGTCAGGCTTGGTGGCAAATGCCTTTAAGAGCTGAAACATCTCAGCCCCACCCCAGCTAACATTCTTGCCAAGGCACATGTGGAGCTCAGAGGACAACTCTCTTTCCACCTTGAAGGTCCTGGGGATTAAACTCAGGTGGGCAGGCCTGGTGACAAATAACCTTCCTACATTTTTTTTTTTTTTTTTTTTAAATAAGACAGGGTTTTACTATGTTGACTAGGCTATTCTTGAACTCCAGGCTCAAGTGATCTTCCTGGCTGTTAGCCAAACATCCAGGAATTCAGGCTTCTAGTACTGGACTAGACCTGCTTCTTATTTACAATTTTTTTTCCTTCTTTCTTTTCTTTTTATAAGACAAGTTTGGGCCAGGGAGATGGCTCAGAAGGCGAAACAGTTAAGTACAAAAGCCTGACAACCCAAGTAGGACATCTAGAACCTATATAATAAATCAGATGTGAGCTGGGCTTGGGGCACATGTTTAATCCCAGCACCTGAGAGGGAGAGACAGATGCATCTCTGAGTTTGACACCAACCTGGTCTACATAATTAATTCCAGGACAGCCAGGTCTCACAGAGAAACCCTGTCTCACCCTATCCTATACCCCCATAAGAAGCTAGATATGTAATCCCAGAACTTTCATGGGGTGATGACAGCAGAGACAGAAGAATTAACCCAAAGCTCACTAGCCAGCTGGCCTCCTAGAGTACACAGGGTGACAGAGGCAAGAGACCATCTTAAGAAAGGCAAAAATACAGAACTGGCTTCTTAAACTTGCCCTCAGACCCCCACACATGCCCCGCATCACTTACAACAGTGATGAATTAAAGGAAAAAAAGCAGGACTGGCAAGCCCGTTCAGTGGGTAGAGGGACTTGCTACTTGATGAGGCAAGTCTAACAACTTCTCCGTAGCTCACACAAAGGCGCAGAGAATCAACACTGTCCTCTCAACTCTACATGCACACTATACATGCCTAACTTCCCTCGCATACATCTTTTATAAAATTGAGTGTAATCTGTCTTCACACACACCAGAAGAGGAAATCAGATCCCATTACAGATGGTTATGCTCTTAACTGCTGAGTCACTTCTCCAGCACCACCATCCCCATACATCTGACACACAGTAATAATAAATACTTAAAAAAAAAAAAAAAAAAGATCTACTTACCCACTTATTTATTATGTATGTGGTGTTCTGCCTGCATGCCAGAAGAGGGCACCATTATAGACGGCTGTGAGGCATTATGTGGGTGCTGTGAATTAAACTCAGGAACTTTAGAAGAGCAGCCAGTGCTCTTAACCTCTGAGCCATTCCTCCAGACCAATAAATACTTTTTTAAGGTTTTAAAATCTGTGTGTGCATGTGAGTGAGTGTGCTTGCCTGTGTGTTTGTGTTCATAAGGAGGCCAGAAGGTCAGGTGTCCTCTATCATTTTCTACCTTAGTTTTTTGTGATGAGGTTCCTCACTTAACTGGGAAATTGCTATTCCAGCTGGACAGGCCAGTGAGTTCCTGGGATCTGTCTGTCTTTGACCCTCAGCACAGGTTACATGTGTGTAATAGCAAGCCAAGCCTTTATGTGGGTGCTGGGACCCGAACTCAAATCATCATGCTCATGTAGAAGCGCCTTCCCCACTGAGCCTTCTCCCTAGCCTGAGAACCTAGTATTTGAGCACTATTTTTTTTTTTTTAATTGAGACAGTTTTAAATGTAGTTTATGTTGCCCTTGAGCTGACTATGTAGCCCAGGCTGACCTCAAACTCACTGAGTTTGTTCTGCCTCAGTCTCTGACTGCAAGTACTACAAACATGCATTACCATGCCTAGCACACTGGCCAATTCTATCACTCAAATGAGAGGAGCACGAAGGTGAGTTTCACAGCTATTAGTACTTCTACAAGGAATGAACTACATTAAAACTAGACAACTGAAAATAAACAAACAAACAAAACTTGTATGTTGCTTAAGTCTGAACATGGATGTCATGCTGAAATGAGAAAAGAAAATGATTCTAAATTCAAGCCCGCCCGTCCTCTGGGCCCCCAAGCACTCTGTCAGTCAGTTATGAACGACTGTCACTGCTGTATGCGCTGCCCGCACATTCCAGTGTCTCTCTGCTAGTCTGGCTCCTGACCGTCCCCCAAAGGCCCATATGCTGAAGAAGTCTTAGTCTTTAATACTGGCAGGTGGCAGAAACCACTGGGAGGTTTCCTTGGCTTGTCCTTATTTCTGAGATGGTCTCACAATGCAGTCTTGCCTTTCCTATGTAGACCAGGCTGGCCTCAAACTTACAGAGATCCACTTGCCTCTGCAGTGCTGGGATTAAATGAGTATACCCCCATGTTCAGCAGCTGGGAGGTTGGAGGTCATTGGCATGCTCTGAAGGGAACTATGAGCCTAGACTTCTTCCTTTCATCCAAATCCTGGGAGGTCAGGTTTGCTTCCTTATACACCTCTTGAATAAGCCCCTCCTTCAAGGTCTTTCCCCACCCTGTCCCAAAGACAGGGCTTCTCTATGTGGTCCTGGCTGGCCTGGAACTCACTCTGTCAATTAGGCTGGCCTTGAACTCAACTGTCTGCCTCTCCCACCGGAGTGCTGGGGCTAACTGTGTGTGTCACCATGCTCAGCCCCTTAATAGCACTGACCAGTCTAGAAATTAATATGTACACTAGACTGACTTATGGCAACTACCCTGCTTCTGTCTCTTAAGTGCTAAAATTATAGGTCTGTACCAGTATCACTAGCCCTTTCTGTTCCCGAGACAGGGTCTCACTCTGTAGCCCAGCCTGGCTTCAAACTCACAGCAATTCTCAAAACAGCCTCCCAACTGCTAGAATTACAGGCGTGGGCTACTTTTCCTCGTTATAAGGGAAGCTGACTAATACAGTCAAATGGTGGAAGAAGAGTAACAGATTTGTTCAGCAGCTCCCACTCCCAGGAGATGATCATTAGATTTAAAATATGGAGAATTGTCCAAGGGAAGAATACCAACCCGGTAAACTGGCTTGCTATTGTGGTTTCCGATGCCAATCCGTACAAAACATCCTGTGACAGTTTTAGCAAAGAAGGGCATGTGACACCAGCGTTCTAGCTTATGCCTTGATAAGCGAACCCGATTCAGTTCTTCAGGTAAGGAGACTGGCTGTGATTTTGGAGGAATTTCTTCTTTCCTGTGAGAAAAAGAGGGCAGCAGTCGCTGTAAAACCACCAGAGAGACAGTCGGCAAATTCTCAATCCAAAGAACATGTGATTGACTTAGGAGGTGAAATAAAAGACCGGATGAGAAGCACAGTCTTATCTATAGAGCCCACTGCCCTGAAGGAAAAGAAGCTGCAGGCTAGTCTGAGGTGGTATGCAGTCAGTTCCTATCTGTTAGGCCCAGGGGGAATGTCCATGGGTGCAGCCAGCAGCCAGAGGCAGGAGAAATGGATGTGTACAATTCAGGACACTAAATCAAGCCAAAGATGCAGCCCCTCCATCTATACTAAGCTGATAACTGCCGTGGGAGGGCCCAGGGCACTGTGGGCAGTGCCATCCCTGGGCAGGTGTCCTGGGTTATATGAGAGAACTGACTGGGCAAGAGCCAGACTGAGCAAGCCAATAAGCAGCATTTTTCTGTTGGTTTGTGCTTCAAGCTCTTGCCTTGGCTCCCCTTAATGATGAAACGTTTATAAATAATAAACTCCTTCACCTCCCTGCCGCTAGATCAAAACAGAGACAGCTTACTCTTCTTCTTCATCAGATGACGACGTTCGGGAGGAGCGGTCTGACTTCTCACTGGACTTGTCGTCATCTTCCTCTTCCTCATCATCAGAGTAAACCTCACTGGTTTTCAATGGCTGTTTTTTGGCGAGGAGTTCAGCTAGAATAAAGAGGGAACAGTAACCTATGTACTCTCCACAAACAAGAAAGCGACTCATCTTTAACAGGTGAAAAGACTGAAAGGACCCAAGCAGACAGTCTACCTTGTCTAGACTGGTCTGTGATAACTTGAGCCAAACTAAGGAAAATCACAATTAAGCATTAGGCACCAAGATCAGGTCCCACAGACAAAATAAATAAAAATAAAAATAAAAAAAAGTTAGAAGGTTGCTACAACTAGGTACAAGTTAACATTCCTATGACATTCCCACATAGTGGGGACTGAACCCAGGGACTCTTCCATGCATGCTAGGCAAGCGTGATACCAGTGAGCGATATATTCAGCCCTTGTTCTCTTTAAGAAAAGGTGTTTAATTACTTCATTGATGTCCATATGTGTGTGGAGGTCAGAGGATAACATGCAGGCGTCAGGTCTCTCCTTCCATCATGTGGGTTCTAGGAATTGGACTCAGGCTGTCAGTCATGGGGGCAGATGCCTTTACCTGCTGAGCTAACTTGCTGGTTCCCTTGTTGTCTTTTACTATACTCAAGATGTTTGACATCAGGCAGAAAAGAACGAAGAAAACTCCTAATTATCTTTTGTTTTTCTCTTTCTTTTAACCTGTTGTGTGCAGACACCCATGTGTGCGCTGTGAACTGACTCACGTCTGACAGAATAACAGTCAGCATTCCTAACCACTGAACCATCCTATCAGCACTGTTTGGCTTTTGACACGGTTTCACTACGTAGTTTAGGCTAGCCTTGAACTTCGGGAGTACCACTCAATCACCCATGCCACTTCCATTTCAGTAAAGCTGTGAAAAATGAGTGAAAAAACATACAAAAAGGGGAGATGGACTAGAGAGATGGCTCAGTGATTAGGAGTCCCTACTTCTCTTCCAGAGGACCCGATTCAGGTTCAGTACCCACATGAGGTGGCTCACAACCACCTCTAACTCTAGCTCCAGAGGATCGGGTGCCTTTTTCTGGCATCCTCATATACAGAAACACAACTGCACATACATACAACTAAAAATAAACCTTCCTTCCTTTCTTTCTTTTTAGTTTTTTCAAGAAAGGATTTTCCTGTGTATCAAGCCCTGGCTGTCCTGAATTCGCTTTGTAGATCTGCCTCCTGAGCGTTGGGACTAAAGGCGTGTGCCACCACTGCCCGGCAATACTCTTTCAAAGGAAGAAAGACATTATCACTCTCTGTGTGACTGGTGAGCTTTAAAGGGCCAGCTGGCAAACACTGCAGGCTTCTGTTTCAGTGCATTGTTTCAACCACCTAGCTGCTGCAGAGCAAAGATGGTTCTAATGGCAAGCAAGCACAGATGACTGGTGCTTTGTTCTAATTAAGTCCTTCCCTCAGCGATGAGCCTGCCTCGTAAATGCCGTTACTCTCCCTAGCTGTCAATTCACAAAAGATGTTGTCTTCTAGCAGCTATAAAAAGAATGGAAGCAGAGCTTCGTGCAGTGTGGAGTAGTGCTTGTCTATAACTCCACCTCCATAGAAAGCCGAGCCAGGAGAAAATGGAGTTTGAGGTCAGGATGGAGCCTTAGAAAGATCTTGACTCAAAATAAAAAAGCAGGGCTGGGGGTTCTGGAGAGATGCCTCAGAGGTTAAGAGTACCAGCTGATCTTCCAGAGGTCCTGAGTTCAATTCCCAGCAACCACATGGTGGCTCACAACCATCTATAGTGAGATTTGGTGCCCTCTTCTGGTGCACAGGCGCGCGCACATAGATAGATAGATAGATAGATAGATAGATAGATAGATAGATAGATAGATAGATAAATAGATAAATAGATGAATGAACGAACGAACGAACGAACGAGTAAGTAAGTAAGTAAGTAAGTAAGTAAATAAATAAATAAATAATCTTATATACATATATGCAGGAGGGGTCTTTCTCCCAATACTTAAAAAACCTGAGCAACAACAAACCAACCCCAAACCCCTATCAGGAATAACCCCCAGAATACAAAATTCATACAACTACCAAAAATGAAGAAAGGAAGGAAAGAAGATTATGTATGCATGCATGCATGCATGCATGCATGTATGTATGTATGTATGTATGTATTATGGCATGTTACCCATTGATGGCTGATGGAAGACAGCATGTGAGTCTGTCTTTATGTTTAAAAAAATACATAGAGAAATAGGGTCTGACATATTTTAGATTGGCTTTGAACTTGCTATGTAGCCAAGAATAACCTCAAACTTGTAATTCTACTGCCTCAACTACCCCAAATGCTGGGCGATTAGAGGGATGCCTTCATGCCTGGGATCAAACCCCAGGCTTTGTGCATGGCTGGCAAAGCATCCTAGCAACTGAGTGACACCCATCTCCTTGGCATGTATATGAACTGCTTCAGTGATGCCCACTGTAGGAAGAGGGCAAGGAAGGCATCAAGTAGAAGGATATGGAGGCTAAACTTCCCCTTGATATACCTTGTGTGACATTAGGAAATACATCTTCATTCCCTTTCCTGGCACACAACTCCTAAAATCCATGGCATCTTCAATGTGAGAGTGTCTTTTAGTATGCTAATAAGTTGACTGGTGGCTGCAAGCCCATAGGTAGCTTCAGGACAGGGGCTGGTCCCTGGAAAGACCAAGGCAGTATTAGAGCCGAGAGTCACATTCTCTGAAGAGAAGAGAGGGCTGAAGGTTAAGCAGATTATCAATGGCCAGTGATTTGCTCAATCCTTCCTCTGTAATTAAGCCTCAAAAACACAAACAAAAATAAAAAATAAAAGAACCTTCCATAGGATAATATATAGAAAGCTGGGTGGCTGAACCAGTGGAAGTTCCTAGAGAATGGTCTGGTCCTCAAATGCCCCACCCTATGAATCATTTCAGCTGGATCCACTGTAACAGCTTTTATAAATAAACTGATAACTGAGAGTACAGAGCTGTAATCCTAGCACTTGGGAAATAGACACACAAGGATTACAAATTCAAGGTCAACTAAGACCACATAGAATTCCAGGCCAGACTAAGCTCCTAAAACCTTGTCTTTAACAAAACACACACAAACAAATTTAAGTCCCGTGCAACACTGTAGCAAATTAACTGAAATCAAAGGGAAGCAGGACTAGGTAGGCACATAGCTCAGAAGCACATAAAAGAACCTGGATATTCAAAGGAGGACTGAGCCCTCAACTTGTGGGCAGACAGTGTTAGCACAGCACTTGAACTGAATTACAAGACACTTAGTCGGTGTCTGGTATAGAATCAGCTGCTAGTTTGCCAGTGGGAGAAATTACGATACCATAGATCATACAAGCTTTATGTTGACTACTGTTAAAAAGCATGTAAGAAACCGAGTTTGGGGGCTGAACAGATGGCTCAGTGGTTTAAAGATGGCACTAGTTGCTCTTCAGAGGACCCTGGTTCAGTTCCCAGCACCCACACAGTAGGTTACACCTATCTCTAACTCTAATTCTAGGGTTTCTGATACAGCACACAGGCACCAGGTACACAGATAAGCATGCAGGAAAAACACCCATACATATAAAACAGATAAATCTAAAGAAACTGAGTTTGTCTTTGCTTTGTTCTCTTTATCTGCAGATGCTTATTAGAAGATCTGAATTTGGAACCATGGATTTTATAATTTATTCATGAAACAGTAAGAATTTAAAGGTTATTTTTTTAACATCAAAATCAAAATATTCATTTGATGAATAATAACTACACAGAAAGAAACTTTAATGAGTAACTTTAAAAAAAATTTGAGTGTGATATGATGCACGCCTGTAATTCTAGCATTTTTAGGATGGTCTGGGATATGAGTCTTATCTTAAATCAAGAGGGGAGAGTTGCACCAATGGCTTAGCTGGCAAAATCCTTCCCAAATGTCATAAAGACCCAAGCTCAGAGCCCCAGACCTCACATACAAAGCCAGGTGCAGGGTCACATACCTGTAATCCCAGCATAGGCAAGACAGACAAGCAGATTCCTGGAGCTTATTGGCCAGTCTGAGAAGCCAAACTGTCAAGTTCCAGGTCAATTGAGAGACCCCATCTTGAATAATAAAGTGGAGAGCAACTGAGGAATACACCTGATGTCCACCTTTGGCTTCCACCCGTAAGAAGGGGTGTGGGTGTGGGTGTGTGTGTTCGAGCTCGTGTGCCTCCATGTATTTGTGTATATCACATGCATGCAGTAGCCCCCAGAGGTCAAAAGAAGGTACCAGATCCCCTGGAACTGGGTCACAGGAGGTTGTGAGCCACCATGTGGGTGCTGGGAATTGAACACAGGCCCTCTGAAAGAGCAGCTGGTGCTCCTAAATGCTGAGTCAGCTGTCCATTCCTCTTACCGACTTTTTTTTTTAAAGACAGCAATCTGTCTATTTTTAAAAGAGCAGCCTTTTATTTTTTTTTTTTTTTAAATGGGCAAATGTGTCTTCAACAATGAGCGTTGAAGCCAGGCAGTTGTGGCGCACACCTTTAATTCCAGCACTAGAAGGCAAAGGCAGGCAGGCAGATCTCCAGGCCCAGAATGAGTTCTAGGACAACTAGAGCTACACAGAGAAACCCTGTCTCAAAACAAGATAAAACAATCCCAAACAAACAACGATGGATACTGGGGAAACTGGATAATAATATAAAAAAGAAAAAAGATGTTAATAAGCCCCTTTATACCATATATTAAAATTAACTGAAGATGGATCAAAGATCTAAATGTAAAAACTAAACTGTAAGTCTTAGAGGAAATGACTGGTGAATCATGATATTGGATTTGGCAAGGATTTCTTGGATGCAATATCAAACGCTCAAACAAACAAAAAAAAGAGATATCAGCTGGTGCCTTTAAGGTATCAGCACATGCCTTTAAGCCCATTATTTGGGAGACAGTCAGGCTGATCTCTGTGAGTTCAAGGCCAGTCTTGTGTACATAGTGGGATACAGGACAGCTCTGGCCTACAAAAAGAAATCTGCCTTAAAGGAGGGGGGAGGAAAGAAGGATAGAAGGAGGGAGGAAAGAGGGAGAGAGGGAGGGCGAGAGGGAAAAGGAAAGGGAAAGAGGGAGGGAAAAGAAAAGGAAAAAAAAGCCAGGAATAAAAAGATTACACATATATAATTTCATGTATAATAAATATTTAGAAAGCAGATTAGGCTGAGAAAATGTGGATCTGTGGGTTTCTTATGGGTAAATGCATAAAAAGTACTGTTTTACTGTGCAGACCTGTGAATACCACATACTAAACGCTGTTTGCTTGTAAACTTTTTGCGAGCAAACAGTATTTCATAAGCTTTTTCTCAATAAAGTTGGTATAAAAATCAAAGAAATAACACTCGGGCCCTTGTCTATAAAAGATATTGAATTATTATAGTTAAAACATGGCATTGTTGGGGCTGGAGAGATGGCTCTGAGTTAATGTAAGAGGACTGGCTGTTCTTCCAAAGGTTCTGAGTCCAATTTCCAGAAACTACTGAGTCGCTCATGACCATCTATAATAAGATCTGGTGCCTTCTTCTTGCCTTCAGGCACATATTCAGGCAGAATACTGTATAAGTAACAAATAAGTATATCTTTAAAAGGAACCCCTGGCATTGTTGGTATTCATTTTAAAACAATCTGATGGAAAAAGGGAATAAGATTAACAAGAAAGGCCATGGGCTAAGTAGAGGCTGAATAACGGAATCATCATTCAATTCTCCACTTACCCGTTCTGTTCTTCCGTTTTTCTCGCTCTGCTTTTAGCTCCTCCATGGCTTGAGATTTCTTATCTAGTTTCTCATCCCGCTTGGAGCGCCGTTCTTTGTTGTGGGAAGTCACCTGAGGAGGTATGGAGTTGGCCATTTCACTCAGTGTTGGGAAGAGACTGTATACTGACAACCAACACTTTTGGTCCCTGTGAATTACTGACTGTACAAACTGAAAAACCCAGCTGAACACAGTGGCACATGCCTTTAGTTCTAGTACTTGAGAGGCAGAGGCAGGTGGATCTCTTTGAGTTTGAGTCCAGCCTGGTCTATGTACCAAGTTCCAGGACAGCTGAGGCTACACAGTCAGACCTTGTCTTAAAAAAAAAAAAAAAAAAAAAAAAAAGTGAACTCTTCCTAGAACACACTATATTATGATCTAATTTCTGTTGATATGTTACTTCAAGTGCAGAGAGGACTAATTTTTATAACTATATTTACACTAACTCTAGGGTGACACACATCTCAGTAAATACAATCAAGGTGGTTATCTGGGAAAGGAGGTTTACCAACTTACCCTCCAAGGGTACCCCTAGCTAGCCAGTCTTGCGTGAACAAGTCCTAAGGAGTTCCTCAGTGTAGCCAACGGTGTTCAGAGACTAGTGAGACTCCAGGCTGCAGATGCTGACGTAGCCCGCACTGACTAGCCCAGGCTAGAGCTGCCCGCCCCGGGTACAGTTCACCAAACACACAGCTGTGCTGTCAATGGCCTCCTACCTGAGATTCTTGAATCTGAGTCAGCTTTTTCTTTTCTTGTTCTTCTTCCTGCTTTTTCTTTTTTTCTTTCTTTTCTTTCTTTTTGGCCGTTTTTAGTTTTTTCTTAATTTCAAATCTGGTTAAAAGATATTTGGCTTTTAAAAAGCAATAATATGTACATAAAGACTGGTTTTTTTCCTTTTCTTTTTCTCTTTCTCTCTTTTTTGGCTTTTTGAGACAGGGTTTCTCTGTGTAGCCTTGGCTGTCCTGAACTCGATTTGTAGGGTGGGCCAGGCTGGCCTCAAACTCACAGAGAACCACCTGCCTCTGCCTCCCAGAGGGCTGGGATTACAGGCGTGTGCCCCTGTACTGGGCAAGACTGTTTCCTATTGGCTAGAAGACAGGAAATGCTCTGTAAGTATATTAAAGTTGTTGACAGTGGTTGTAGAGATGGCCTAGTGATTTAGAACACTGCCTGCTCATCCAGAGAACCCACATGGCAGCTCACAACTGTCTGTAGCTCCAGGAACCTAATACCCCTTTCCCGCTTCTGTGGGTACCAAGCATGCATGCTGTACAAAGACAAGCAAAGCACCTATACATATAAACCAAACTAAAAAAAAATAACAACAAAAACAAAGTAAAAAAAATATTCAAAAGCATTATGTTGGAATAGACTAGAGAGAAAATACTCAGATCAGAGTTCCAGGTCATCCTCAGCTATATAATGAGTTTGAGGCCAGCTTGGGATATATGAAACTCTGTCTCAATAAAGAAAATAATTGTGTATCAAGTGAAAACACTGCAGAATATACCCAAATTAACTGAAAATAGGTATACAAATGTTTGAATATCAACATTTAGAGTAGCATTATTCATAGTAGAAAAAAAATGCAGAAATGACTTTAATGGCAATTGAACAAATTCACAAACTGCAGCATATACGTATAATGGAATGCTACTCAGCTCTAACAAGGAATGAAGTGCCAATATATGCACACGGGTTGATTTTAAAAACATGGTAAGTGAAGCTGAGCACCGCGCATACAGCTATGTCCCACCAGGAGGTGGGTGCTGAAGTGAAAGGATTGTTTGAGCTCAAGGCTACCAGGAAAACGGCAAGATTCTGTATCTAGGGGGTTGGAAAGATGGCTCCTCAATGCTTAGGAGCACAGGCCTGGATTTATTCCCAGAACTCACAGTGGCTCACAGCCTAAATTAGCTCCAGCTCCAAGTGATGCGATATCCTCTTCTAGCCTCTGCAGGTTCCAGGTGCACACACGGTACACAGACAAGACATGTAGGCAAAGCACCCATACACAAAGTAAAATTAAAAAAAATTTTTTTTAAAAAGACAAGAAAAAAGCTGGGCAATGGTGCCACAGGCCTTAAATTCCAGCACTCAGGAGGCAGAAGCAGGGGGGGTCTCTGTGAGTTCAAGGCCAGCCTGGTCTACAGAGAAACTACAGTGTTTCAAGAAAGCCAGGGCTACATTAAAAAACCTCCTTGTATAATCTCCCCTCTTGGGGTGGGAGCTGAGAGGGATCAGTGCTAGGTTGGACCAGGATTTCAGCTTCTATGTAAGCCTTTGCTAAGGGACCTCAGCCTCTGGATCTGACATCTCCCTTTTAAATAAGAGTCCTAACTCATCAGGTCATAGGCCTTTGCACAAGTTGCTCATCTTTTCAAAATGTGAAGCAGTTTCTAAATGTTTATTAAAAAAAACCAAAAAACAACAACAACAAAAAAAAACCTTAGTGAGTCCAGGATAGCCAAGGATACACAGAGAAACCCTGTCTTGAATAAAAGGGAAGGAAAGGAAGGGAAGGAAAGAAGAGGAGGGGAGGGAAGGAAGGAAGGAAGGAAGGAAGGAAGGAAGGAAGGAAGGAAGGA